AAAATCACAACTTTCACAACCCTATCAATGTGATATCATTTGCAAAAAAAGGCAAAACCTTACAAAATCACAACTTTCACAACCCCACCCCCCATGACTACCCGCTCTCTTTTAAAAATACCGACTGTGAGCTCCCAGCAGAGTTTCCCTGGTTCTGCCCAAGTTGCAAGTCCCAAACTTCCTCCACACTTCGGAAAACACACACACACACTGCAAAAAAGCAGGACCCTCTCTAGAACGAATGAATTCTGTGTGCGCCATTCTTTCTCCTGGGACGAAGAATGCGCTCCCGCTCCTTGCCCAAGACTTCTTCAGGGAGCCCATGAAGCTCGACCAGCGTTGCGGTGGCGAGTGACCTCAGGGCACGAGAGACTCTCTAGCTATGTAGGTTCTGACCTGTCATTGATCCGCCCACTTCAAGATTAAATCAATACATCTTAGTCATCATCTTGCTTCGCAAGCATGCAGGGGAGCAAACCCACCAAATATAAGTGCGTTTCAACACAAGCGGTCACTCTAAACCAAACAAGTTTATCAACTGTTCCTTCTGGTCAGGTCTTTGTCCGTACAAATCTCCTCAGCTTTATCTTCCTTTGTAAACCTACATCCTTCTTTGACAAACCTGATGAAGCACCGCAATGACCTGCCTGATTCACTGATATTGAATATTGGTTTTCAAGACGGGGACACACCGTCACTGCTCTCCGGAAGAGGATCTACCACCACAGACTTCGTCCGAGCTGCGCTGCCATAAGCTGCGCTGCCACATGTGGCCAAGCTGAGACAGCTGCGGAAGTAGTATCTGAGAAGTAGAACGTTCTGTGTCTCAATCCTTCCTATTTGTCTCATCTCATTCCGAATCTTCAAAACACTTCTGCAAAAGCCTTAAAGATCTTAAAGGAACCCAACAAGATCACCGAGCTAGGTCTTTGAAGGTCACTGGCACCTTGGCAGTTTAACCATTTGCTTAGTCCTCTCGATCGACCCCAAACAAACAGCAAAACCAACAGCGAGCTGTAGAGTGACGACGCGGGGTTCGGCGACGCGGAACGCGACGCGGGCACGATCTCCCGAGTGGTGGGCAAGTCAGCCGGAACATCATCATCTACTTCTGCTCCATCCTCTGGAGTTTTCAGGAGCGATGAGGAGTGGAGGAGTTCCGCTTCTCTTTGAGAAGCTCACGTCTTTGAACCCTTTTGTCACTTGGATTGGCTTTTAGCTGGAAATCAATCCTCCCAGCAATGTCACATCCCAGTCGAGTCTAGCAGGCGTGTGAAAACTGTGTCGGACCGGTAGAGCATTCTTCGAGCATGTTTGATTGCGTAGGTCACCGTAGGTCCTTTGATCTATTTGGACACCAGAAAATGCAGCTGTTTGTGATTCGCTTGTGATGAAAGGCCAAGTGGATTTTCCTGGACCCCGGTTCGACACTGGACACAGCCATTGAGAAAGATGAACACTTGGGAGATGGTCCATGGTCATCCATGGTCCAACAAGCACGAAAATGGAAAGCCATTGGAAGACCATTGCAAGGCCCAAGCAGGTTTTTGAAAGGTTCTGACCCGTTGACCCGCAAGGCCATGGACGCGGGCACCAGTGCCAGTCCTCTGCAAGCCAAACCAATTGACCATCTTCCTGCAAAGCTGGCAGCTTTGGTGGTTGGACTGGTTGGACCTGTTTCAACTCAAACAGCTCCGGAGGCAACATGGGAAAACACAAATCACCTGGACCTCCTGGGAATCATCGAGATTCCCTCCAATCCGTTGGGAATCCAGAGTAGGATGATGAACATAGAAAAAAAAACACATTTCTCCGTGACCATTAGGTGTTCATGGACAAAGTTCATGTTCACAAGTCTGAAATGGGCCGCCATGGTTTCTCCCATGGCACTCATGAGAAAACTCTCTTCGTTCATCTCTCTTCCTCATCTCAGATCCTTCAGGCGATCTAGAGTTCCTGTCCGCCAGCTCAATCCTACCCAAATCTCGGACATCTCATGGAACATCCTCCGGATCTGAGAGTCGTCTAAGGTCGCCTCCCCGGCCGTTTTCAAGATCCAGGAGCTGGATGCCGGAGCCCCGGAATGCCCTGTCCTCAGCCTCATATGACCAGAACCTGGCTCTCATCGACGTCCGAGCGGCTTTTTGGAGGTGCTTCGTCCTTTTTGTTGGACCTGTTTGGCTACTGTGTCACCATGCATTGTGAGTGAGAGACGTCTCTTCCTTGTTCGTGATGCATTTTGTCCGCTTAATATTGACCAATCCCTGAGCTCTGCACAACAGGCGGAGCTTGCACCGTATTTCGTTGGTGGGTGGAGGGCTTGCGTTTTGGAATCCCCCCCCCGCCCAGTAGGCCCACTAGCAAGCCAGCTTCATCTATGAGAGACCAACTTGCCAAGTTCAGAGAAAATCATCTGGTCTGGACCTATATATTTGGTGGGTCAAAACCCGCAGCCCTGGGTTGAGGTCCACAGGTAGTTTCTTATGTCTATTCTGGCTGGTCAACCCCTGGTCCCTCGTTTTTGACCAATTTACCTCTTCAAAAGGGAACATTTCATTTCACCTGTCTGGCTCTCCCCCCATGCTGCACGGAGAATCCACCACTCGGAAGATGGGGGCGAAACCAAAGGTATGGATCATGCGGCTTTGCAGCGGAAAAGGATCGTACCTGGAATAAACCATGACTGGTGGTTTTGAACCAAGTGAGGCGGTCTGAAAAGCAAGGGTCACAAAACCACTAATCCATTGGACAACAGGGTCCCCATCATTATCACCCAAACTGGCTGTTGGTGTCCACATTAGGAGTGCCTCAGCCATGCTGGCGCCTCTTGAGGGATCTGCGAAGGCCCCTGCGCAGCGAGTGCCCCAACGTTGACCTCGGTTTCCGCAGAATGGCCAAGGGAATGAGTTGCAATCAAATGAATATATAATTGTTCTCCAACCTTCAACTGTGGCTACTCCAGTTGGATCTCCAGTTTCCTACTGGTTTCTCATGTTGTAGCTACTGGAGGATGACCACAATACACATCCAAGCAAGACGGCCTTTCATTTGGCAACAGCTCGCAAGCTAGTTGCCTCTCAAACCCAGAAGACCTATGTCAAGCTCCAGGCTGCCTTCAGCCGCCACACCCCCAGGAATGAACACTGGAATGCGCGCACTACCAGTAACATAGCAAAAAACAAACCATCCGAGAGCCGGTATGGTGCCAATGGGTTCAATCCCCGGGTGCCACACGGACCGGCAAACAGGCGGGCCACTACCCCTACCCCTGCACTAAAGGGGATGAGCTAATTAGGGTGTGGACCGTGAAAACACAACAAAAAACCAAACTATCCCAATTTGCCACTCCCCAAACTCACAGAGCCACCATAAAACCAAGAGGCCATCCAGGATTTCTGGGTGTATATATCGGGCAAAGGATACTCCAGTGCTCATGGTTCATGTATGTTTGTGCCTAGCATTTCTTACTGCACATCCTCTCTCACTTGTCAACAGCACCTCAATGCACAACTCTGGATCCGTCGCCATTGGATCTGTCTCAGGTGCCCCCGTGGATGGACTAGGAAGTATATATATATATATACATGATTATACATGAGTGACTGCAGAAGTAAACAGCAGAACACCTCAGAAGCGGGTCAACACCAAGTGCTTGTCTTGAGCCTTAAGTAGGCGCCTTATCAATCTCGGTACGACGATCTGACTGGTCCACCGCCCACCGTTGGCCCCGGCAGGATCAAGCAGCGGTGAAGTTGAGCCTCGCCGTTCGAGACGTTCGCGCCGTTCGGAACCCACAGAGCTGCAACAAGCACTGCTCGGGTTGAACGTGTGAGAGCCGTGAAGTGCTACAGTGTGAGACACAAATGAGACCTCCAAACACAGCCTTGCTTTGAGGGTGAACTTCGTCAAAACAGCAGCTATGTCACATGCAATCAGAAAAGCAGGTGGCTCTTTCGGAGGGGAATAGCTTGAACAAGCATAAATGTTCTGAACGCTGATTATTACGACGTTACGAGTAACATCGAGTAACTGGTGTGACAGTCCTATAACTCGACTCCCAAATTCCTCCCATCAACCATATCAATCAACCATGGATTGGTTGGGAAGTGAAGTCTCTTCCCTCCTAACTTTCTTGAGAGATGGTCCGAATTGCCTCAACTGGCCCCAGCAAGGATGAGGGGTTGCACCCCCATGCCTCACATTGCCCAACTGATTGTAGCCCGCCACTCCAATGGACGGCTACTTGGCCTGAATGCAACTCTACTGCACCAGCTACAGAAATCTCTCACCAAGCTCTGAACAAAGCCACACGAAAACGCATCACCCTCCCAAAAGATGTATTCTTCTGGGATCTTGACACTTCACATAAAGCACAGTCCACCCGTGATCCGTGATCAACCATGTTCGGCATCACAAGGCATCACAAGGCTCCCGTGCTCAACGCCGTGCGCTCGGTGAGTTCTATTGGAATGACGCGATTCGCGTCCCTGACCTCTTGGAGAAGAGTCGCCATGCTGGAGACCACGAAGGGGGAGAGGACCTGAACAGTAGCTGAGGTGTTGAGTTGATTGACCACTTCAACGATTGGGGGAAACCACCATACATCGAACTGCCCCTTCTTCCGAGATATTCTTTGACTTCCAGTGGTGTTTTTCCTGCACCATCCGGCCGGAAGAATCATCAACAACAGCTGCAGACTGTCTTGCCCCCTGAGGATTCTGCTTTTCCATTTCCTTACGTCCTTACCTGTTGAACGTGGACGGACCTCGTCGTGGCACTCGAACATGCCTTGTCATCATGTGACAAGAATGATCACACATGGGTGAACCACCAACCACCATGGGACTGCTGTTTTGGAGGTGACTAGGAGCGGAGCTCTCCGAAATTGGAGGTGACTAGGAGTTTCAAACAATCCATGGACAAGAACGCGTGGCTACCGCTCGGCTCGAGCTTTAGTATCTCGTGAAGCTCAACATGGACTTCCTCACATGGAGCCAAAGGGGTTCTTCAGACACCAATGAAGAACTTGGGCTCTCTTCTCCATCCGGTGCTGCCATTCTGAAGAAGCACCTTGCACCCCCAGCCGCTTCCTTCAAGCTCCTTTCTGTTTCAATTATACAATATATGGATCCAACATTTGGGGGAACCCCATTGCTGACGTAAACGATATCCATGTCCACCATTGTTCTTTATGACACGGCTTCCTATCTTTTCAATCTATCGCTCATCATTTTTGAACTTCCCCTCCCACCGTGCATGGCTATTGGTGTATCTGAAAAGTTTAACACCGGATTGCTTGACGCTTTAGTGGGTGAAACACACGCAAATAACCGCACACCTCATGTAAAGACAAAAGCTGTTCTCTTGAAAGGGACATCTCTTTACTATTCAACTGCTGAAGTACCTCCCACCCAGCTAACGAGGAAGGACTAGCTGGCTGCTGGGAGCCCCAGCTGCACAGGAAGACATATGGAAGAAAAGTGCGGCACAGGGAGCTGCGAAGGGAACCTCAGACCATTCAGTTGAATGAACAAATGGGTGGCTTACTTTTGAAGGAAGAAATTCAACACTTGGCCTAGAAGCCTTCTACATGGCAAACTCCAGAATCCACAGCAAACGGATGCTCTGGGTGGGTTGACGTGGTCGATCGGTCTCCTTCCAACAAAAAAGCTTCGACACATCAGCATTGCCTTTCCTTCGATTGGGTTTGGACGACGGGGAGTCGTGCGGAGTTGTGTATGTGAATAGGAGACCAGGAGACCCCAGAACCAATGGGTTGGCGGGGGCTTGTCTGGTGGTTTCTCCAACTCGAATGAGATGGAGAAACCCCTGGCGCAGTAGGTTGGTGGTTTCTGATCGAATTTGCTGTGGTGCTGTGCCCAGTTCATGTTGGAAAGCACCAACTGTTCATTTTCTACTGACTCAACAATCGTTCCCGAAAGATACTCGTTTCTTTGTAATCTTAGCTTTTTGCAAGACACTGACTTGGACATTGTGCAATCTCAATTTAGCTAGTCAGCACTGCACTTTTACCAGGCTCCAAACATATAGTGGTAACCTGGTTGCAACAAACTGCACCCCCCAACGATCCATTGATGAAGGACCAACAGCCAACCACTGGTGTGTTGTTTTTTTTCCATTTCTATGTGATCCATGGTTCCCTGTTCTTTTTGGGAAAAAAACAACACCCTGCTCTTTTTCTTTCGTGTCCCTTGAGGAGCCAGCGGTTCGATCCAGGAACATCGATTGAAATGAAACCTCGGCGGCCACGGGCCACCGCCGCCGGCGAGAACCGTCCCGGCCACGGGCTGAAGCCGTGGGGAGGCGGTTCTCGGGTCGAGGTGAGAACTGGGCTGCGAGGCGACTTGGTCGACCGGTGGATCACCCAGTTCACAGTTAGTTTGTGATTGACGAAGTTCAGGTGGCACAACACATCCGAATTCAAGTCGGGTGGTCCCCTGTCTCCTTTGCGGGTCCTATGGCCCTGTCTCCCTCTCTATCCGCTCTTCAGTAAGAGGATGAGCAAATTGGTGCGGCCGGCTATGCCACGAAGCTGTCACAATTTGGCACGAACTGAGGGAAGACCGGGCTTAAATGGAGATCCACCACATGTAACTGCTGGAAAGCCATGGTTTTGCGACTGCCCGACTGCCCCATCTTCTACTTTCCATGCAAACCTCTGGGCCCGCTTCTGAGAAGTCTTCAGATCAAAAAGAACACAGAGATTCCGGAAATTTCGCCCGGATCCATAAAGGACACCGGGCAAAATAACTGAACTGCAGAACTGCAACACCACCTGGGCAGATTTGACACAAGAGTTGACCATCCCGTGGTGTCAAGTCCCTCTCCCCACTGGAGATCTGCGATGTGTGTGCGGCGGTCAGCCGCTGGGCCGCTCAGAGTAGGCGTCCGGGCTGGTAACATTGAAGCAGCGACACAGGCGAGGCCCTGTAAAACCTGTCAGTCGGGTGTGAAACCGCAGAGGACTGCGGGAGAATGAGGGCCCAATCAATTGGCGCGCACCTGGTAGATTTGACCATTTCGAACCCATTGGTTGGCAGTTGGGATCACCTGCTTGATTTGGTTTGAGATGCACCCCAGCGATTTCTTCCAACACTGCCAACTGCCTGTCGTGCAGCTCCAGGTGGGCTCACTCTCGCCCACATGGTCCCTAAGTTTTCGGATATGTCTTCAACCACAGCGGTCAGCTGAGTCACAAGCAAGAAGCTACTAGTAACAAGGGCATCGCTACTAGTAACAAGGGCATTAATACCAGTAGCAAGAAGCTACGAACGGAGCAATACAGTCTCACCGAACCCTAAGACCCGCCTGTCGCGCTTCCACGGCCGCTCGGCCGATGAAGACCCCCGCCACGGCACCCAACCTGCGGGTCCGTCGCCGCGGTGGACCCGGAGGCGCGGGTCCACCGCGGCCCGTGGATGGACCCGGAGGCTCCATTGGAGTGCGGCTCTCGGAGGCGCGAAGCACGGCCGGAAGCATGGACCGGCTCAGTCCGTCGGAAGCATGGGTTGGGTGGCAGGCAGGGCTACAGATTCACCAAGGGACACTCGGACTGCGAGTGTCGCGGAGGGAGTTTGTCCCGGAGATCACCTTTTTGCTGGTGGTGCAAGCACAAGGGGTTGCATGAGAGCCATTGTAGATAGCAATGAGCCAAGCTATTGAATTCTTAGAAAGCGCCTCAAAGGTCACAGTCATCCAGTTGTTTGCGGGTTTTTTACGTGTGATTCAAGGCCCGGTCAGTGATCATCAGCCTATCGGAGTTGTCAGAGAGAAGGCCGAGTCACTTCGAGAAATTTCTTGAAACACCATCTATAGATTATCCTATAGGTACCCCAGGTGATGGGTCCTTTTTCAGATCCTCTGTTGGCAGTAGACCTACCAAGTGTTGAGATCATTCTTGGAGGAGAAACATTGCTCATGGCCCAAATGGTGTCAGGAATTCTTCCAGAAAAACTGCAAATGTTTCTCTGCATCGCTTCCTCGGTCGAGGGGGCCCAGTTTGGATGATGCTCAGCTTCCAACAAATTCAGCTCAAGGCCGTGGACGGTCAAGGGACAAAGCCTCAGCACATGGACCATGCTGTTGGAAAAATCACTTGGGAGGACGTTTCTTTGGACCAAGATGTCTTCAGTTGTCCAGATGAATCTTCTTTCATCTTCTGCAAATGAGTTCACCTGGTTTCTCAGTTCAGAGAACCAAGACCTGGGTCTCCGCCCTTGTGTTGCGTGGGATTCAGCTCGTCATTTTCCTGACTTGCTCCTACCATCTGTAAGACAAACGACGGCCGTAACTAGAACAAAAAGGCTGCTCTCAAAAGACACGTTGTTGGTTATTCTCATGCCAAACAAATATATAATAGTGTTATATAGAACTTATAGAACACATTACAGTCATTAACAGCTTTTCAGCACCTTGTCACGCCACATTAACTATCTTGGTTTCAGGGGCGGTGATCCGTGTTTTTGGGCATGAACTGGACGTCCCTACCCATTGGGGTTTCTGGATGTTGTCGTGGAGTAGTTTGGACCTCCAGGACAACATAGACACCTTTGCTTCTTCTCGCTCTAAGGACTCTATAAGGACTCGATCTAACTGTACAAAGGAAAGATTCAATGAACACCTGGATATGCCTCAGCAATAGGTATGAGGAAAAATACAATCCTTACTCACCCGATGAGCCAACTTGAGAGAGGAGGGGGTGAACGAAAGGTAGCAGGCAATCACAAGTAACCCTGGTAGAAGTCCATGACGGCGTGAACTGGCGCAGGGGGGATTTGATCCAGGGGGGGGGGGGCCCCCCCCCCCGACGAACAGAATCAACTCTTACAGGACCAAACTCAATGCACAATCCCAACTCCTGATTGTAATACATTTTTGCTAAAGCAAGGAGAACTCAGGTAGCTCAAGCTACCTTTCGTGATGTGTTGGTGGTCGACCATCTCAGGGTTGCAAATGAAAACACTTGCTGTAGACTAGAAGCGTTGGCACTTTACACAAATCCTCCAGGAAAAAGATCTCCCACAGCTTTACACGAATCAGTTCGAAGCCCATTTTCTTCGTCCGTCGCCTCAGCCGAGGACGACCAGCGGAAGATTGGGGGCCCGGGCAAATCTTCTGGCTCGGGCCGGTACCTCGAAGCAAGTTGGGCGGATCAAAGTGAGCCTTGATGAGCCTAGTGAGCACCGAGGCCCACTGCTCAGTTTGGGAAGGGGGGGGCATTGAAGGGTGGTGTGCAACATCAGCCCAAGGACGTGGCTCAAAAAGAAAGGTGTCCAGGAAGTGGCAACGCGACAAATTTCAGGATTCGTGGGGCAATCCATCTTCAACTCATGGGGGACACTCCTGAAGAAAGGATATTAGAAAGCGTTTCTCCACCCATCACTTTGGTTTGCGCTTGAGTCAAAGCTGAGCTGGTTTCCCTCTTTTGTGCAAACCAAACGCATCCACAAAACACCACACAGGAGGATTGTTCGTCACATGAGGAAACTCGACATGCCGTGGACCAACTTGCTCTAAGCCTCCAAGCCTCTTCCCTCCAAAACTCTTGACCCCGACACCATCCCCCACCTGATTCCGGCTCCACAAGCCCACCGAAATCGACAGCCTCCCAGCTTCGAACTCCACGCCACTTGGGCTGCCCGACTGTGCCCAGCGAAAGGGTGGCAGGGACAAGCGATTGGCCACCTGGACCAAGGAGGACCGAGCCCCGGATCAGCGACTCGCGAGACGACTGGGTGTGACATTTTGGGGCGAAGCAAATGGCCGTTTTGGGGCGAAGGGGACTCAAGTGACTTGAAGTGGGTGGATGATTTGGACGTCTTCCGTCTTCCTGGAAAAATCACAAAAAGGTCAAAGAGATTGAAGAAGATGAAGAAGGTGATTCACCACAGCAGGTGCAGGCAATCACATGTCTTTTGGGACAACGTTAGGAATCACACGTCTTTTGTTCTATCTAGAAATATGAATCATATGAATATGGTCAATGACCGGCACCTCCTGTCAGCGGTCTTCAAAGAACTAATGTAGATCTTGGTTTGGGGGTCTTTGGGGACAGGTCAGCTCGTAGTAGGACTCAAATGGACTCCATCATCGCAGACTGTGGAGCATTCACTTACCTTCCTTCTTCAATCCAGCAAGCTCATGCAGCACCTCCCCAGGTCAAAGCATCTACTAGCTAGCCTTTTTCCTCCACGCTATCTCGCTGACAGAACTGGAGGTTGTGACCAGGCTCGCAATCATCGGGAGAGAAGAACTTCCGGTTCTGCAGCTGGGGTGGAAGGTATCCCTCAGCGCAGCCCCTAGTGTATCCCTCCGCAGGGTTGTAGACGTAACCCTTGCCGTAGCCAAGGCTCCTGGTCATCGGCTCCAGGTGTGGAACATGAGCGAACGAAATGGATGCCGGAGTGATTTATATAAAGCCTCCGGCTCTTGCAAGGAATTCAACCCTAAGCACTGACATCCGACGACTTCTTTCCAAACTAGTGACTGCTTGGCCTCCTTTCATTGTACTGGGTGAAGCCTGGTTTGGAACGGGACAAGTCGCTCGCCAAAAGACATCCAGCACAGTATGAAGAAACTTCCTCTTCAAAACTCATGCAAATGGGTAGCTCTTTTCGGCCATACTTTTTATCTTGGAGCACCCATCAAGGTCAAAAGTATGCTTGGATGAACACGCATGACGCAGCAAAGACCCGAATGTGTTGGACGCACCACTTGCAATGCCCGAATCGCCGAACACTGCGTTGAACAACCAACCCCTTTTGAAATGCAGGTTTGACTCTGCCAGCAACCTGAGAAGAATGCAGCGGGGTAAATCGCCTGCCCCTGAAACCTTCAGAGCAGCAAGCTTCCGGGAGTTTCACCCAAATTCTCCTTTGATGTCACATCTAAGAAACCACTTATAACTATTTACAATATTCTTGAGGCCTTAATTCTGCTTCGACCGGTCTCCTCATCATGCTGGTGGGGGCATTGCGGATGTGCAGTGGTACCGCTGCATGCGGTTCCTCCTCACACACCTTCTGTGCTGCTTCGTAAGCACGATAGACTGCACAACTCTTTGGTGCAAGTGCCAAGTAGATGACCTGAGTTGTGTGAGAAATGGGTCTGGATACGACGGATTTTTCTTACCCCATGGCAAAACCCCATGTGAAAGTGGCGGATTATGACCATGACTACCAGTTGAGGGCACCACGAGTCACTGGAAGTTGTATCTTCGGCGTGCCCCCTTTTGAATGACATGTGGATACCCCCTAGTGGCTGATTGCTCCCCTCTGAAGCATTCAAACCGTTCAGATTGGGGATTGGGGCGAATGGCTGTGTCACCACGTTATCCGATACCCGCAGCTGTCAGAGGGGAGGTGATCTTGTTCCCTCTTCTCTCCTTCGGGTCCTTCCTACCCCCGTTCCAGGCAGGCAGACGCATTGAGCAATGACCACTCCCGCTTCGGGCATGCCGATGGCGTGCACCGCTTGATCCGCTGCCACCGCCTGGCTCAAGGCCAGTGGATCCGCTAGGCCCACGTCCTCCGAGGCGAAGCGGATCAGCCGCCGCGTCACGTAGCGCGGCTCCTCGCCGGCGGTCAACATGCGCACCGCGTAGTAGAGGGCGGCATCGGCGGAACCGCCACGGAGGCTTTTGTGCAAAGCACCTGGGTGAAGGAAGTTGCAAGGCACTTGGGCTGCCCTTGTTACTAGTAGCGATGCCCTAGTAGCTTCTTGTTACTAGTGATGGCGAAGGATGGAGATCACAATATCTCATTCATGTGGAGGCTGATTGTTGGTTGTAGAACAAGACCTATCCACCATTCCAACAAAGGACACATAAACCAGTCACTCCTCTGTGATCTGTCATTCCTCCTTATGGTTTCATCATGTTTCATCCAGCATCCTACACACTCTTCGCTTTCCAAGGCGCTGATGAGATCATAATGGAAGTCCCCATTCCGATCGTAGAGTGCCCGGCGCTGCACCGCCGCGCGCACCGTCTCCGCCTCGATCGCCGGACCGGTCGCGCCGCCCGTGGGCGCGGGCGCGGTGGCGCCGAGCGATGCGGCGAGCTCCAGAGAGTTCAAGGCCACGCGGGCATCTCCATCGGCCGCTGCCACGAGCCTTGAAGAGGCGCCGAGGATTGGGAATGTGTCTTGCTTCTTTTTTCTTTTTCGGAGAGCTTCGGAGAGCTTCGGAGAGGTTCGGAGGTTTTGGGTAGTCTGGCTGTGTTAAGCTGAAGGGGGGTTGGCTGGGAAAGTAGATTTTCGGTTGGGATCAGGAGAATGTGGACATTGCTCCCATGTGGGAAGAAGTATGACGATGATGGAGAGAACATGAAGACCATGGCGAACACAACATCCGATTTCTGTGAAAGCCCTTCTGGATCGACAATCCGGAACTTGGACCTGTCAAGTCACTTCTTTTTCAGCCAAACAACTCACTTTGACACTCTCCGAGCGTTTCTGTCTAGCCATGTTTAGTGGAGAACATCCGTGTAACAACCCCTGAGCATCAGAGGACCATCTGTCACAGAACTACTGTTCTTGCGTCCAGAAAGGAGCATCACCCATTTTCCCACCTTTTTGGAACCTCGACATGACATGACCACTGTTTGGATAGAAACAGAAACCACTATTGGGCTGAAGGGTGCTAGCAACCCGCAGCTGTCTCTCTCAAACCTTGCATGAGGATTGCTATTGCAGGCCTTCCAAAATCACAGGTCTCCTTAAGGCCACAAAACACTCGCTCCCACTGCCTGAATATCACTTTTCTGATCCATCTGGGATCCCCAAAGCCATGTCCGGCTTCGGACTTCAGCAAAACTCCCACCTTCTGAACCCCACCGAGAAGCAGTTGCCGAGCTTCAGCACTGAGGTGAACGCCTGCCAGCTGCTGATCCAACGCAACGGCCCGGTCGATCACCCGGCCGATGGCTTCGCTGGAGAGCTTCGCGAAGACCACCAACCTGCGCAGACTCTGCGACTGCAAAAGATGCATCAACATGCCATGCATGTTCTGCGCGTTCTTTTCACATGTGACATGGCGTTGGACGCGTGGCAGGGGGCATGGCTTGTAGACTCAGGACACCTTGATTCATGGGCATGTGCAGCGCCGACATCTTGGACATGTTTGCTTTGCAGATAAGACCACCCATATATCTGCATGACAGGTGCCACACCCAGGTTCGCACACACACGCACACACATCGCCCAACACCACAACTCACAACCTATCGTGATACTCCGTAGGATGGCAGCTTGCAACACCACTGTTGCATTCATAAGGGAATTTGAACTAGGTAGTTGTACTTGCTTGGGGTGTCTGAACCCACTGTTATGGCCAGAACTTCTCCAAAGGCTTTGGCCCAAAACGAGCAAAGCCTGCCAAGGTCACCAAAGCCTCTCACAGCCAACTAAAACAACCGCAGAGATCCACACCGCAAAGCACCACCGGTGCCAGCACCTTCTCCCAACCGCTTCACTGAAGCACGCTTTACCAAACGCACGACTCTCGGATTCTTCCGCCTGCATCTTGAGAGGATGGCATTGTTGAGCGAAAAGGAGGGATTCTCCGTGGTCGCTCCAATGAGCGTGATGGTGCCTCGTTCGCTGTCCTGCAGCAAGGCGTCCTGCTGCGCCTTGGACCATCTGTGCAACTCCTGAGCGGAGCAAATCGAGCGAGGGGTGGCCGAATCGGAAGCGGACCGCCGGAATCGGAGCTCCGAAGGCTTCCGGTCCAGACCACCAGATACATCCAGACACCAAGTAAAGAGGTTCCCCCAAAAACGCCATGCCACATCTCCATGCAAACAAAGACTCCAAGCGTGTGAACATGAAGGACCTGGACCTGGATGTCCTCAGTCTGGCCTTACTACGGAGTGACTGCCGTTCAACACACACAAACATTCTTATTCCACTTATTCACCCAACACCCATGGCGAAGTTCCAAGCTTCATCCACAAAGAGGATGGTCTTCACCCCCTTCTTTGCCTTCTGCTGTGCTGCTTTCAACTCCTCCCGCAGCTCGGCCAGCCCCACGCGCGCGGCCGAGAGCTGGCGGAAGCACGTCGTGCCGCTCGTGCCGCTCGGGCACGACCCCGCGGGGGTCGACCGGGTCGACGTCGCGGACTGTGCGGCGAGGCAGTGGGCGAAGGAGGTCTTTCCGCAGCCCGGCGGACCCCAGAGGATCATGGAGACCAAACGATCCTCCTCGGGCGAGGACCACAGAGACGGCGCTGCGGCGGTCTACGATGAGAGAGATGGAGATTTGGGAGAAGAGGGTGTCTTAGAAGAAACATGGAGAGACACGGGCGGGGGATTGGGATGCAAAAACACACATATATATACACAATGAAAGAATGTGTGAATTTTGATGCCGTAACTTTTTTGATGCTGGGCTTGGGTTAGGGGCGGTGGCGGATGGGGTATATGGTTGAGTAGCTATCTCATGATGACATGGTTTGGCCTAAGTAGTTAACTCATGATGACATAGCTTGGCATGAATGATGTTTGGCATAAGATGACATGGCTTGGCCTAAGTAGTTAACTCATGATGACATAGCTTGGCATGAATGATGTTTGGCCTATCTCGTGATGACATGGCTTGGCCTAAGTAGTTAACTCATGATGACATAGCTTGGCATAAATGACGTTTGGCATAAGTAGCTATCTCATGAAAACATGACGTGGCATAAG